TACCAGCCACTGGTGGGCAGGTCTGAGAACAGGTCATGGGTTTATGAGACATGGTGTTAACATCAAGAGCAAGGGGAGTTTGAAAATACTGTCAGGTGTCAGGGCACACCTGCCTGACCCGGCTCCACCCGCCCTGACCCGGTATCCCGCTCACCTCTACTCCCCACCCTTCATCACTGTTCCTCAGCTCCTGTTCTTCTTTCTATCCTTTTGTTCTTTTATTCCTTTGTTCTTTCTCCTATCTTTATCTACATGGACAACCTTTCCCCATACCTATGTATTATTGACCCGCCTGCGACGTGCGCATGACACACCCAGCCCCCGACGACCCGGACGGTCTCGCGGTGCAACCCAGCACACGCGCGTGCTGCACATGCCCTCGGGATCCCCCATGGGGACACCCGGATGACTGCAGCTGTATGTGGGGTGACGTGGCAAACCTCATGTGACCCAAGCCGCATGTACATAAAGGTACCTGGGGTGGGAACCGAAGAAGTAACCTTCTTCTCACAGTTCCCACTTCAGGTAAGTAGCATAGCCTCCCCTTTTAATAACAACTCACAGTTCCCACTTCAGTCTGAGTGGCCAGGGACCATTGTCCTGGATCGGGCCCGCCAGTATGCATGCCCGCTCCACACCCCACAATGGCCTCAGTGCCGGGCATTACCCCCAGGCCCTCTCGACCCCGGACGCGTCCCTGACATCAGGGCATGGGAAACATTACTGTGGCTCACCGTCGGCGACTGTTAAGGTCTGCTGTCTCAGCATAACAGCCTGTCAAGGGTGGGGTTGCCAATGGCAGCAAAGTGGGGTTTTGGCTTCAATGACTCATTCGTGAGCATTGCACCTTGTACTTGACATGGCCCCGATATTTCAGGATACAGAGGGTGTGACTGAGTCAGACAAGACACAAGGGGGTAACTGTTAGAGACCAGAAGCGAGACAAAGGAATTGTCTCCATGGCGGAGGGCTTCGGCCTCAGCGACTCAGGCCAGGAGTGCTGTGCCAAGTTACATGTCTGTGCCCTAATGTATTTACTGGCAACCAGAACTAAAAGAGGGATCAACTCTAGTCGATTTTATCACTGGGGTGTAACCTATGTACAAGTTAAGTATATATAGTTACAGTGAGGGCAGGCCCGTGAATGGCGGGGCCAAGAAAGTAGAACAACGGATAATAGTAATACATGCAAACTCCGGAACAGTTGAAAACCAGAAAAAGATATATATGGAAACAGAATACATGCAAGATCGGAAACGAAGTAATCGGTGGTGAAAGGGGAGGGAGTGGGAGAGGCAAAAACTAGTGTGAGACTGCAGCAGCGGATATGCGGGAGTCGAGGGGGGAAAAGCAGCAAGGGAAACAGGGAGGCAGTAGTGGCAGCAGCGGCAAAATCACGAGAGTGAGTTTGAAAGAACAGCAGCAAGTTGGCTTTATAAGCACGGCCTGAATCGTCGTGAGCACTCTCGTGATAAGTGAAGTTCAGTACGTACCTCCGCTGGTGTGGTCCGCTTCGCGCATCTGCGCCAGAAAACCCAGCATACGACTGAGGCACAGTCTCTGGGTCCATCAAATGGTCAGGTTGCGCAGCAACTTGTGAAAGCGGCAAAGGGGCAAGTGCGGTGCTGAGACAGGCGCATCAGGGTGATCGAGCCAGGGGAAGTCATAGCATTGGCTGGGCCGAGTTCAATCGTTGCCCCATGATTAGTCTGGTGAAATGAAAACATTAAACAACAATTAAAGCACGTAAGTATATTATAACAATGCCATCTTCGTTTTGACTGCGAACAAGAAACCATGGTATGGGAGGGAGGGTGTCGACAAACTTATTTTTGGCGGAAATTTTAGATTAGGTTATGGAGTGTATGTACAATGTAAATTGTTAGTCGGGTAATATCAAAAAGGGTGAATCAATATTTGCGTGGATGTGTGGGGGCTCTACCAAAATCGTGGAATCCACAATTCCACCCTGGGGGAATATTCCCTTGACAAGCTCGATGAAACTAAAGAAAATAATGAGTATTTGTTGTCAAAGTCGAAGTATTCAAGTTGACTGACCCAAACTGTCTCACATCCTGGCTTCAGACAGCATACAACATTAGACCCATTAGTAATTTCATCTGCTGTAACTTCCACATCACAGCACCGGTGGAGAGCAGTCACCAGCCACTGTACCGAGTGCATAGGACGCCCACTTTGATGCGCAGCAGGTAGGCTGGTTTGGATAGACTCATTGGCAGATAACAGCGGGCCCGGGCTTGGATGGGGGACTAAGGGATCAAGAGGCAAGGGATTGGTTTCATCATGGGCTTGTTGTAGACTATCTTCAATATTGGAATTCATCTGAGAGCTCGCTGCGCTTGGCCCTTCTAGATCGGTAGTCCGGAGAGCAAGTTGGGTGCTGTGAGCTTCGGATATCACAAAATGCGGCTTATGCCGCTTCCGACGCCTCACTTCCATGCGGTTTGCTGTATGACGATTGTCCCAGAGCACCTTGAGTCCTTCTATTTCAAAATTAGTGATTGCAAGCTCTGGAAGAGGGAGCGCAGGGGAATGCTTAGCGCGATAGTGAGCATCCAGATTGTATCTCCAAACTGCACTTGATCCTTTTGGACAGTGGGAACATTTAACTGGGACATTACCACATGGGTTGGCTTGGAATGGGGTGCTCGCAGGCCCATATGAGAATTTGGAAAGCCTAGCACATGTTGACTTGGTGAAGTCGACACCGATTGTTCCCTTTTGCACCCGGAGAACAAACTGACACATTGGGCTGGGCTTGAGACAGAGACCGCAAGGCTCACTAGAATGGTTGATGGTTTCCCTGTTTAGATAGCTAGCAAAGCAAAGAAGAGCATGAAACAAATGGTTTGCATATTCCATATTTGGTCATCGGCACTCCCCGGCACTATGGCTACTGCCGATTGAATTAAGCATGGGAGGAGGGTGTTTCACATGGTGCCAAAACTTAAAAAGGGACGTGGTGTTTATGATTCATGTGATTGGGTTTCCCTTAGTTAATCAGGGCTATCGGGCATTGGTAGCGGGAAACGGCCACAAAGGGCCAGGTGGAATTGGCAGCATGCGCGCGACGCGTGACCCGATCCGTGCTCGTACATACAAAGAGGAGAAAGAAAGCAGACGAAGGTTAATGGGAGTGACGATAAGAGACAAGTTGGAAGTAGTGAAACATAAAAAACCAAATACAACACAGAGCTAATATAGAAAGACAATGTAAAAAGATAAACATCAAAAGCAAAATACAGCACAGAACTAATGTACAAAGACGATGTAAAAAGATGTACCAAAAAGAAAGATGAACCAAAAGGAGGAGTGTCGGGGAGGAGGTGGGAGACAAGAAAAGGCAACAAGAGCTGAAAGCTGAAGCAAGCGGGAGTGAAGTCACACCACGAAGAGTGTTGGGGGTAGCAAGTTCAGGGAGAACAGAGCGTCGGTAGCGGCAGCGGCAGTGGGTCAAAGGAGTAAGCCTGGAAAAAACAGGCAGCAAGTTGGATCTCACTCACCGAGGGAGCGCGAGATACCAGGCGATAGGGGGAGGAGAAAGGGGGGCCATCAGGATCCCTTTATAAGCACGGCCAAGGCAAATGAGTGCTCTCCTCAATAGCGGAAGTTCAGTACGTACCTCCACTGAATGGTCCGCTTCGCGCATCTGTGCCAAAACATCCAGCATACATCTGAGGCAGCGTCCCCTGACCCATTCAAGCTAAGTTGCATGAGAAATCACGAGAGATCACCGCGATCAGTGCTGGGAGGCATGTGAATGCCAACACGGTCCCGACAGGGTGCAGCCAGGTTTCCCAGCTAGTGGCGAGCGGAAGCGGGAACCTGAGATCAGCTGATGGTAAGTTGCTATCCCATGATTAGTCTTGTGAAATGGAGACATTAAACAACAATAAAACACCGACAGTGCGGAATCCGGGCACAACAACCCAGGTTTTTTTCCAACCAAGTTTTTTTCAAGGAGCAAAATGTGCCTTCAACTATAGTTGTGCATCTTGAGATGTAAATGAGACTAGTCGAAGATGCCAGGATTCTGAATCGCAATGCAAGAAGTTCAAGTTCAATTTCCCACACCCACCTTCTAATTTTGGTTCCGGATTGCGCGCGTCTGGACTACCTCTTCAACATGCTATCTCATAATGATGGTGGCAAAGTGCAATGCCAAAAAAAAGTACCTTAAGATGTAATCGCAATGCCCATAAGGTGGAACACCTATCCATTAGATGCCTCGGTGATAGTGCAACTAAGAAGTATTCCAACCGAGCATCAATTAAAATCGTTGACCCCAACACTGTTTGCACTGCCTTTGGTAGGTTCAAATATGGTGTCATCCAACAATGTTGGACTATTGTCGATCGGAGTGCGGACCAGGCAAGACCAGTATTCTGCGATTCAAATGTGTATATTATGCTAATATCCAATGTTATTCCTAATGTGGGCACTTTTTTATATCCTACAAAAACCGTGCTTACCCCTGTTGTGCAGAATCTGAGTGTGACAACCCAGCACTGAGAAAAAAAATTCCATGAGAAAATCCTCCGTGAAGTAGGATTAAAGTCCCACTGAGAAGCAGGATTTTGTCTAAATTTTCTATGTTAGAACAATCCTGCTGCCGTACATGATTGTGACCAGAATCATGTCAAAAAGTCCTGCTGAATAACAGGGAATAATCCTTTTATCAGGTAATTATCCGTGATGATATCATAGGGAATCATGCTCTAATGTAGGTCAAATCTTGTCTAATGACGGCTTATGTCTGACTGGAGGCAGGATTATATATTGACTAGTCGACACGATGGGACAATATGACTGGAATGCCGCAAAAACATGATGAAACGACAATCGAAAGTGAGGGGTCATAAAGTTGTCGCAGTGTCAAGGACTTGAACAGCAAAAAAGGTTTGAAGTGAACAACGGGGTCGAGAGTGCCGTGAGTGTTGTTGGAGAAAAGCATAGAGGCAGGGGTTTGGTGCGACATATTATACTGTGGTTGAGTTAAATTTAGTGCCTAGCACCGTTACTAGTGAGATGTTAAGCACGCACATGTTGGATTATGAGTCATGTTACCGTTCTGGCAACATGTCCCATGCACAGCGCTAGCATGCAACATCTCACACACGCATCACCGCTCTCCCAATTGGTGAGTGTGCCAATCACGGCCTTGCTGTATTATAAAAGATGCCATAGATAAACGTAATAATAATAATCAGCCTTAGTACTTACCTTAGTCCCTCGTTATCACGCGAGTGCAGCTGCCGATCGCCAGTCTACTCATAACAACAGTATGTGGTAAAGATGGGTGGCCACATTGCGATTTCTTGCCGATGCCCTAGTACCGGTGACAAGTTTTGAGGTTGAAGCGACAAGTTGGGTTATCTGACCTGAAAGGCATCAGAAATGAAGGAAATTTAGGCGTGTGCAAATGGATTCCTGAAGTTAAGGTGTTAAGCATTCAATGATTTAATGATGAGGGCTTACACGCATTCTGCATGGCATTGGAATCGGCCCTGGACACGTTTCTTTTGCGCTGTATGACTCTAGTCGGTTTTTGAAGACAACAAAGAGGTTAAATGGCTCCTTACACGTGTTATCTTCTGCCGGGAGCTCGATCTACCAACATGAAGATGCAACAGTCATGGCACGAATGTGAACCACACATAAGTGCATTGTTCCGAGAGAAAGGGTACACCTTCACGGACCGCTTCTGGCCTCTCCTGCCCCCAACTGATCTGGGAGATTGTTCACTTCTGGCTAGATTGAGGCGAGTTGTAAATCATGGGGATTGAGTTAACCCAAGGGCCAAAACAAACAGACCGACACAACACATCGAAGTGCTATATGCCCAACTCATTGCTCTGCAACATCCCCATTACTATTGTGTCTCTGCTACTCTGCATCTGGCGTTAATATGTTCAAATCAAGGGCTCCATTACTCCTATAGGCCACAGCTTCTCTGGAACGCCACAGCTTGTAGATGCCCACTAGCATCTTTGTATCGTCCGCTGCCTCACTTGCGCCAGGCTATATCAAGAAGATCTTCTGGGCGCTTCAGGCTCGATCGATGAGGAGTGGAGTCTGTGACGATGGGGCTTCTTTGTGCGGTCCCTTTGCATTAATGTGGATGGATCTTGGATGCGCGAATTTTGGTTTTTTGGTATGCTCGTGTTATTGTTTCTGACTTTCGCCCCCCCTGAGTCGCCATTCTGACGTTCTGTGACGCCCTTAGATCTGTTTCCTACACCCCATTTCCCCATTTCCCCATCCTTATCATCCATTTCCACCCCGACACACTCCCTACTTCCTGTGTCGAAAAAATCGACATCGCGCGCTTTTATAATCCGGCGCTTCTCATGGTCATGGAGCACCCAAGCACTCTCCTTTATGAATCCGATGTGGGTCCCTTCGACAACTTGCACTCCAATCCTTTTCTGGAATTTTTTGGGGACATGAGTGTGCACGATGCACCCGAAGAGCCGAAGAGAAATGACGCTTCCAAAGTCAACGTCGATGTCAAAATATGCTGTAATCGCGAAATCGGACATGATGCAATCTCTGGACTAGCATATTTCAAAACAGTTTCATACATCGAGGTTGTGAATCTAGACGCTGTATGTACTGTTGTTGGTCAACTCAGGTTGGGGGGGGTGGATCCATGTTGTTAGAACGGGCGGAAACAGACGACTCCGGAGTGGAATCGGAGACTTAGCGTGGAGGGACCTTGGCCTCAGCGACTCAAGCAGAGCGCTGTGCCATTGCTGTTTGTCCATTTGGTCCTTAATTTCACAGTAGGTGAGCAGGAAGTCTCTAGGCGGCATTTCAGGTCGATTTCGGACTAAACCAAAACGAGTATGTACAAGCGCCGATATATATAATGGAAGGGGCAAAAGCACAAGGAGAACAAAGGGTAACCGAATCAGAACGAAGATGTCCGAACGGGAACAAAGGGTAGAAGGAGCGGAGCGGTACCAAAGGTCATAAGGCAGGACCTGTGATACGTCCGAAAGGAGGTAGGGAGGGCGAGGCCCAGAGGGGCAGGAGGATGAGGGGAAGTGGGGATGATGACTAACTGGCTAGAATAGGAAGAAGCAGTAGTCCAAATAGGGATGAGGGAAAAACGCGAGAAATACATTACAAGCGGCAAGAGTGCCGAAGGCGATCCGCAAGCCCGGGGGTTGCGGAGCTTACGGAGGTTACGGAGGCGGGGTTGAAAGTCCGAGGGATATTGGCAATGGTGTTTACGTAGTATGAGGTCACCAATGCAATGGACTAAGACTGAGGTGGAGTCAAAGTCCGAGGTAGGGACTATGACGGAGGCTCGGAGCAAGGTACGAGCGGTGTCCGAGTGCGAAGTACGGGACAGCGGTGGAAGGTCGTAACTTGGCGGAAGGGTGGCGGAGGAGTAGGAGAGGGAGGAAAGGTAAAGGAGAAGGAGTGGCGGAAAGGAGGGTAGTCAGGTCCGAAGGTGAGTATCGGAGCGGACGGGGGAAGCGTAGGAGGATGACGGGAGGGTGGAGGTGTTGTGAAGGGGGAGCGGAGTAGTAGGAGGGTGGCGAGAGGGGCGGTGTTCGGTCCGAGATGAGTATCGGAGCGGACGGAGATAGGGTCGGAGAGGTAAGGAGGAGGTGTGTTGCCAGGACCGAGGGTGAGTATCGGAACGGCAGCGGTAGGTTATGACTCCGGAGGTGAAGAGGGTGGAGGTCCGGAAGTCGGGTCAGGGTCGGGTATGCACGGGTATGACACATGTGGGCAGTTGTAGATCGCAGCGGATCCTGGTCTTGAACTGTATTCAACTATCTACGGGTACCCAACAGGACATAGGTTCGTGATGTACACCTAAATATATGTCATAACGCTGTAACGGGTCTATCGCCTAGACTCGAGACAGAGAGAAGGGGGAGGGTGGTAGTGTGCGCGGGTGTGGTTCGTTGGGCCGGGTTTTGGTCCGTGGGTGCTACTGAGTCTGCAAAAACCACAAACAAACACTCACCTACGTCTCTCTTGGACGTCAAGGCTGAGTATTATGATGTGAGGGGTCTTAGACGTGAGCAACTAGCTCAGAGGGGGCGTTAGGGTCGTGGATGGCGTCTTTGCCACTTGGATGCAACTTCTGCTTGTCCCTTCACGGGTCTATTCAATACTAACTTGTTATGTACAAGTTGTTATCTAGTTTATATATGTTTGAAATGAAATGAATGGACTGGGGGAATGTAAACGGGCCGTTAGGCAACCGTAAATGATGAATATCCAATTGGGAACAAAGAAACAATAAAAGAAATATGAATGAATGGGGAATATATCATAACGGGTCCGAAATGGGAAATGTAAAAGTTAACTCCGCAACGCTTCGCCACAGCGCCCGCCTATCCTCCCGTCAGCAACCTCCTCGTCTCCAGCTTTCCAACGAGCCCCTATTCGTCCCATTTGGTGCAGTAGTTGTTGAGATGTGGCCATTGACAGGTGCTGTCAAGACCATGTGAGACTCTACTCCGTGCTGAACCATCCGGGTATGGGATTGCCATTCTGGGAAATGCTCCGGGGGTGAAGAAGGGTGGTAGAGCATCACTATCGGGTGGAAAAACGGCTGGGTTGTGAGTGTGGGTATGGAGGTCTGGAGAGGGGGTGAAATTGGCGGCATGGTTGGGCGTGGGAATTTTGCTTGGGGTTGTCGGGAATGATGGGGAAAATAAGGAAAAATATGGAGTGAGTGTATGGAGTGTTGGATAGTGATATAATGAGTATCGGGAGCGTCAGCGGATATGTACTGCGTGTTGGTGACCAAATTCCGCAGAATCCGACTTTTTGCGGTACACGGAGTTGTCCCCACAACAACGCGCATTACAATATAGTAATATTACGGCTGAAAGATTATGGTGCACATACGTTTTGATGATAAAATCCTCCTTGTGCAGGATTTAGATGGTCTGAAACCCCAATCCTGTCGTGCAACAGGATTGACGAAAAATCCTGTCACCAAGAATCCTACACAGTGCTAAGATTTTTCACGGAATCCTCACGTGTGCATGATTTTATCATGGAATCTTTTTCCTCAGTGCTAGGTTTTTTGCCAACTGGGTGTTTTCTATTAGAATACCAACCTTGTTTACATCGGGTAGTTGTGTAGTGGTTATTTGTAGCAGTCATTCTGGGGAACTTTGAGGCGTTGGGGGCATTTTGCCCCTCTTATTCAACTTAAAACTCCCTTTGTACAACGACGTTGCCACTCAGGAATGTCACGTATATAAGGGAGGAATTTCTTAGACTTTTCTCCCTCAGATCTCTTATTCGAGTCTGAGGTGAGAACCATTCTATATCTCCTATTATAACTCATGTATAACTCTTGTCGCAGTCTTACGCGACATAGGTATTTACAACTTAGATCTCTTATTCGAGTCTGAGTCTTACGCAACATAGTCACTATTCTAATATTTTCCATGGAGCAAAATGCCATAGGTAAATTACAGTGATTTAGTAAATAACTTGGGCTGCACGATGTTAATTACCGCGATTTACTTCCCACTGTGTTACATGGCCAAGTACCAGCGGTGGTCAGGATAGGATGTAGGTGCCACCAGACCCTGGCGCAATGTGGCTTATCCACATAAGGAAATCTTATTTCATTGAGCCCTGATTTGCCCAACTGTTTCTTAGGAAGATGAATGACCAGGTCCCCTATCCGATAACATCAAGATGGCAGATTTTTTTGCAAAGGGTTGTGGGAGAAGTGAAAGCTGCATCCGCCATAAAAGCCTGAGTTTTGTGTTCACAACCTTTCAACGCTTGAGTCCTACCCTTTAACTCTGGACATGGACCAAGCAAACTTTGTGACCACTCTTCAAAATCACTCTGCCCTTTCGGCCCAATATATTGACCTATCCCTCATAGGGGATCAGAACCTCATTGGTTGTGGGGCATATTCCTTGGTATATGCTGCGAAGCATAGTATTCCAGGCATCACTCATGTAAGTATGCAATTTTATCTAAATTCCTTTACCATCTGATACAGCAATGTCAGGCCGAAATTTGTACCAAGGTGTTGATGGCTCCATCCAAGGAGGGGATGCCTGATTTTGAGCTTTTCAAAAGGGTATAATTTTGTTGTGTATATCGCACATAGTCATGCTAACACTGCCAAATAGAGGATACTAAGGGAATGTGGGATATGGTTGACTTTAAAACATCCCAACATCACACCCTTCCTCGGCTGGGCACTGAAGATCTCTAATGTGATTCATGCACATATTTTTACAGAGTTGGCAGTGAATCATTCCATTGCACGCTTCATCAAATCGCACCCCGATGCAAACATGAAAAAACTGGTAAGCACTAGTGATGTTAGGAACATGGGTAGTGGTTATTCATTTCAACCTGAAGCTTCGTGACTCTGCTGAAGGAATAGAGTACCTTCATGCAGAAGGTATCATCCATGGTGATATAAAACCTGTATGTCTCTACATTCATAGTCTTTGTGTTCTTGTGGACACTAACGCCATAAACCAGACAAACATTCTTGTCAATTCAGACCTGAGAGCAGTTCTTTGTGATTTTGGACTGGCAAGAAGAATCGGTGACCCCCAAACCGATCCCCAGGATGACAGCGTTAATACAACGCACCAATACTCTGCACCCGAGTTGCTGTTGGGAATATCCCTTGAGCCTCCAGTCCGAACAGAGGCCACAGATGTATGGGCATTTGGTTGCACCGGACTCGAGGTAAGGGGATTCAAAGGTTCATGGATCGTTAACTTAAGCCTCTTCTTTTCCTAGTTATGGTATGGCCATAAGCCGTATCCCAAATTTACTTCTGGTTGTGTCTCAGCCGCGATGGCCTATGGCAACATGCCATTTGAAAAGGATGTCATCCAGAACCATGATTGGGCTGCTGGATCTCTTGAATGGGAGGCCGAAAAGCGGCTGACTATTGGCGACATAGTGCGTTTACTGGCTTGATGGCAGGCTACAACAGTTCTTCCTCTCAACCTCACTCCCCATCTCGACCTCACACGGTCCAACATAAATTCCTGCTACTCTGTAGCAGGTCTTGCGTGCAATACCTGAGCACCAAGCTAACCCAAGTTGTCCCTCACCACGCTGCGGTTCCTCACAGACTCACAACTTGGCCCTACACCCAAACCTCCACCCTCCCGACGCTGCCACCGCACTTCCTTCCTTGCCAAACTCTTGCTCCACTCTATGGCGTCCTCTCCACACTGAGCTTTTTTAAATGGCCCCTGGCCATTTAAACTCCTTACCAAAGAAGCAATCGCTCACGGCCTATATGATTTTTCGTTGTCAATCAACGATCAACGGAATTTGCTCCTATGCCATGCCCTGACCGGCGATTGTTACTCAGGGTGCATGTGTTGCGCACCACTCTCAATATCCCTTTTGTGATTTGTTTTTCACTTTTACACTGTTGGAATTCAATGGGAACTCAGTAGGAGCTTAGGCCCTACAGCTATCATGGGATTAAGGTGGCATGGTTGTAACTCCTGTTCTTTTGTCTTCTTCGCTTTGACATTCCACTTTGACTCGGGTCCAACTACTCTTTGGCCTGGCACACTACGCGCTGGTGCCCTACCTTTTTTCTATAAAATTCACCTTTTCGCATTATCATCTCCCTCAGTTCACTTTAACGTGAAGCTGAGGTGAGAGAGAGATTTCGACTAGTTATTACTAGAAATGGCTGCTGTGCAGCCCTGACCTTGCTTGTGATAAGGCTTTTGCATGTGAGGTTAGCGGAACGGAAGTGTTTTCTGCCAACATCATCGATCTCTCCATCAAACTGGTAATGTCTTTCTGCACCATTATGCCAAGGTTCTTTCTACTGTTGTGCACCTTTATTATTAAGCTGTCATGGAAATCACCTCCCTCTCTGGAACACTGTCGTGACATTTTGCTTGTATTTAGTAACACTGCCTCACCAAAACCAAATAAATATCACATAAACTCCTTTCCCGGTCTTGGAGTGTTATACTGCTGTGGCGTTCAATTCAGGTTCATAATGTCAATGGCAGACTGGGGGTGCAACCAAGGGAGCTTTGGCTCTCGCCATGAACCCGACTTTCCGAAATCAAAACCTTTCTTGAACACTCTTCCCGTCGACAGCCTCTTCATGATTGGCAACGAAGAATTAGCACCAATTCGTCTGAACAAGTTAGTCATACTCGGAGTCCAGCTTATGTTTTGGTGATACGCTTTTCAATGAAGCGTTGGCAGTCGTCTCAGCAATCGATTGGGCTGCACACTTACCGGACAGACCTCGTTGCGTTCTACTTCGAACCGATTCGATGAACACGGTTGATATCTTCCATTCACTAGCTGCTGAACCTAATTACGTTTTACTCCTCCATGTGGTCGAAACAATGATGGATTTCAACACTGATGTTCGAGTTGTTCATATCCCTGGCTCCGAAAATACCGTCGCAGATGCGTTGTCACGTCACCTTTTCGACTCGGCCCTGATCCGTTGTCTGGGGCTAAATATTTCCTTGTTCAAGCCTCCACGGGATAAGTTGGGGGTGATACAGGAATGAATCTTTCAATAAGCGCCAAGGCACGTCAGCCGAAACGTGCCCCTTGGACATTGCATCATTTGCATCGTCAGTGAGCGATCTATTTGTCCAACACTCTTGATAAGTCAAGAAAATCTGCTTATCAATCAGGGATTAATTCGTATTTTACCTTCTGCCAAATCCACCATTATGACCCCGAGCCAACACCTAATATGATTAGTCTATTTATTTCATATGCGACGAAACAGATGGGGCCATCAGGTAAACTGAGATCGATCCGCACAATTACCTCTTACCTCTCAGGCCTTACTCACCTTTTTATCCTTCGGTTCGAGATGCCCGCAAACACCCAATGGTGGTTAACGCGTTGCGTGGTACAGAGCGGACTGATGGCCAACCGCTCTCAACGGAGATGATCCATCGAAGAAACTGAGCACAATAATTTCAATAATGCTAAAATCGCATGGGGAGTCGCTTACGGTGTATTCAAACACGATCCTGAGCAAATGTTTATGTGGTGGGCAACCCAACCCAAGTCAGGAATGACTTATGTAACGAGACTTGTGTGCCCTGGGTCTTAGCACCTCGGTTTCCCTCGTGTCCACCGCACACCTGAGACTTTTTCTGATCTCGCGTATGCTACATATACATGCTTATGGCTCTTCGAATGCTAATCATTTGCGTGCGTTCAGTTTGTGTCTTATCATTTCACGGTATTTTCAGGTGTTTTTCGTCGCCTCTTTGATCGGGTGCGTTTCTATTCTTTGCTCACGTCCTGCTGGATGCTTCAGCCTCTGTGCCTGCATTCATGTCAGCACTTTGCATCCGTTTGCACGCATCAACCTGCCTTTTCTGGCATGCTTTTTTGTCCATGTGCTGCCCTTTTCCGACTCTTTCGTTTTTTGTTAACAGTTCAACCGTTTATTTCCGAATGTAAGCATTTGGTCTTACTGAAGGTGAAGGTGTTGTGACCTTCGGTTACCTTTGGTGGGTAGGATCCCATATATTTACATCCTTGTTGCGCTCTCTTTCATTTCTCGGTGTCTTCTTATTCGCTTGTAACTTCTCTCCTCGACTGTTGCTAACTTCTGTATTTTTTGCCTCACCCGCCACCATCCCATGCACCACTGACTGGGTCGCTTGATATCTTAAAGGCTTCGACTTTTCATCGCTACACTACTTCACTGTTCCAGGTCGCCCATTGCGCAGGACAAACAACTTGGGTGATTGGAGCAATGGAATACCGTAGCGATGACCCCGACAAAAGTTGAAGCCTCTGAAATATTGTACCTCCATTAAACCCCAAACAAATGCACGAAGCCAAACCTCAAACAAATGCACAAACAAACCGCCACAACCGCTATTTTTTCTTCTCTTTTCCCCTTTCTTCTCTCTCCCACTTCATATCTTTTCCCTTCTTTCCTCTCCTTTTCTTTTCCATTTCCCTCCCCACCAACAATTGAATCCCTCGATTCAAAGATAAGACTCGGCCCCAAATCCCAGGGACTAAGCGAATGAAACATGAATGCCACATATCCCCTAGAGCAGCTGCGGAACGAGGTACCGATGTCAGAAAACGATGGAGGATGAAAAGGAACATGCCCGAGATACCATAGATTCTGCCCATTGGCCCATTCCCATAATGAAGGCGACAACAATGAAGGGATAAGATCCAGAATCGAAATAGGAATAATGAGAGACGCATCCTCCAAGGGATCACTGGACATGCAAACCAATTCGTTGATTGTAGAAGTACGGAAAGGATGAAAATTTGGACAAGATGAGGATAAATGTTCCAAAGACTCTGCTACAAAACAGCCAAAGCGACACTGGGCAGATTGAACAAACCCGAACTTGACCGTTCATAGGGAAATGAGGGACAAGAACCGGCCGCCACTCTTGGCCTTCGTTGGCGTGGACTCCAGAATAAACGTGTAGCTGTCCTCTCAGCAAAACGAGAGGACAGGAAAGATAACACGTCATCCTCAACATAACCAACTCGAGGACACCAAAGACTGAACCTGTCCAGGAGAAAAGGTGGTAACGGAGCCGCAAGCACCAGCAAAGGATGGGAATGAGCCAAGGATGCAGCGGCATCAGCCTTGCGGTTCAAGGTGGAAGGAATATCTGAACAACGGGTGTGAGCCTTGACATGAGAGCAGCGGACGCTTGGAACCTGCCATACGACATCTTCCAACCAACAATAGCAAGCTCGGCCTTGTTTGTGAGTCCAAAAACTTGGATGCAATGAATTGGACCGGAAATCCTCTATCAACCGGATAGATTGTAGGTGGTCCAAGAAAACATGCGATGGACCAGGGAAATCCGGCGAGGCAATGATCAAGCATACGACAATAAGCCCTAGTGTCTCCCCCTGAATGTTTGACGCATCCACAATCCGCAAGCAAACCGGCTTCGGTCCCACAACTCCTGATGACACAGAGCCCATATTACAAAGGCAGGAGCCATCAGTTGCCCACAAATCCTGAGGAAGTATGAGGGATTCCAATGCAGATGAAACCCTCTGCCAGTCGTTCAGGGAAATTCCAAACCACATTACATGACGTGATACTATAATCGACCTCCAAACTATTCGGGAGCACCTTGCAAGAGGGTTGCTCGTCCGATGGTAAGGAGAGACGAGTGGCAGAAGTGTGCGATGGCGTTGACACAATTTAAAGATGTATAAGTCACGTGCAGTTAGCGCTCCACAAAATAATCGAGGTCTGCTCAGCATGATGCAACCAGGCTCCCTGAACTAGTAGCTGCATGGCCAAGTACAACTCCCTGGGATGTACTTGTTTGAGCATGACAAATATATAGGTTCAATGCGATCACGTGGCCTATTTCCCCCTCCCGGAGTCTGCCATGGGAAATGCTGAAGTCCGCCAAATCCGTCGTGAGCAGGTCCAAAGATGCGACTCCAGATTGGAGATGCAAGTTACGACAGGGGAGGGACGTGTGTTGGTGTCATGAAGGTATCGCCCAGGGCTGATTGAACAAGACCACAAATTGGTAATCCTGTAGGGCAGAATAAACATTCTTCCTCTTCAAAAAGAAAACCAACATACCCCCATCAAGAGCCAAGTCGGTTGTTGCCAAAGTGAGTAGGTCTAAAGACACTGTCGGCACCTATCGATTGGAGATGTAGACTTTTCAGTTACAACAGAAGAGACAACAGACTCGTGGAACAACCCCCACATATCAATCATCTCCTTTTCTTCCCGTGCACCTTGAATGAGCCAACAATTC